GAAGAACCCCTTATATTCAGCTCTAACTTATGCCTGGTAAAGGAGGGAAAGGAATATCTTCTAAAAAGAAAAAAAAAAAAAAGTAAAGTAATAATCGTAAGTCCAAAGCCAGATATTCTGTCATGTATGTGAGCACCAGGTTAGCAGCTCAAAGCATAAATTTCTTGGCTCATAACAAAAAAAAAAAAAAAAAAAAGTAATAATCGTAAGTCCAAAGCCAGATATTCTGTCATGTATGTGAGCACCAGGTTAGCAGCTCAAAGCATAAATTTCTGCTCTTGGCTCATAATCTGCATGACAGACACTGTTATTTAAAAATGGTTTGAAATTATTAAGTAGTAAGGCAAATAAGGAATCATGTAAATGCTAATGTAATAAGGCTAAGAAGCAAACAAAACTTCCCCAAATCCAGAGTAAAGCCTTGGCCAAGAAAACTCTCTGCCCATAATACAAATAATTATCTCAGCCTTATTAAATTAAGAAAACATAGAGTTCAGCTGGAGCCTATGTCACTGGTTTTTTTCTTCTTTTTCTTTCATGTCTTCCTCACAGTGCCTAGCACAGCACCCTTTATGTAGTAGGTTCATAATCACCCATTCAACAAAAAGGGTGGAGTGCCCTCTATGTGCTGGATCTGGGCACCAGGGAAGAAAAGGGCAAAATAAGATACTGTCTGAACTCTCATAGGGTTCCTATTCTGATGGAGACTGACATTTACAGAAGGAATGAAATAATGTTGTGTCGGGACTTATGTCCTTTCCGATGTAAAATTAGGCAGATATCACACTTTTATTTTTACCAAATGTTAACCAAGTTAAAGTAGTAACCATGTTTATGAAGTATGGGAATTTTGTGTTTGTCCTTGTTTTATAGAATTATTACTCTGTAAAGAGAAAATTATAAAGTTTTAAAAATTAGGAGAAATGAAAGTGAAAGGGCTAACCAGAAAATCAGAATGAAGGACTGGACAGTTACTATGGGAAGCTCTTAAATTAGAGTCTAAGGTTCTTTACTTTCAGCCATGTTTTAATAATGCCCATTTATCAAAAAGATAAACACCACAAAAGTTTAAATAACCATAATCCGCTCATATTATCATATAACTGGTGCTTATAATAATGGCCTTAACTCACTGTACTACTGAGGTAAGCCTCAATAATCAAAGAAAAAAATGTCTTAGACTTCTTGAATTTTTAAAATTATATTGCATTTTTATTCTGTGAAAATTTATAATCCATATAAGATATGTGTGACTCTCCATTAACCTGAATATTAAATTAAATTTCCTAATTCTTATTTTATCAACACTTGCTTTGCCTCCCTACCTCGCTCCAACACACACACACACACACACCTACACCCACAGACCACACTCACTCATACTATACCACATAGGTCACTTTTCTCTTTTTCATGGTTGAGATGAACTTTATCTTTTTAAAAAAGACAAAGAAGAATGAGACAACTTAGAATATTTTAATAGACCAAGGGCTTTTGATCAAATCTCTAAAGTTTTACCAGGCATGGTAGAGAAACTTGCATTTGCTCTCATTCACAGCATCACATTTAAACAGTGCGTAATAGAAGAAGAGTTTTAAAGACTTCCAGAAGAAGAAGGCACGCTGTATTTATTTAAATAACTAACACTGTTCACAAAACATCAAGAGAATTCATTAAAACCATCACTAACAGTGCTGTCATTAATAGCAAAATAGTTTCTGAACCTGACCTTATAAGCCTTTAAGCCTATGCCCCTCACTTGTTAATCCCTTTCAGTGTGACTTGCTCTTCTGAAACTGCTCTCTCCAAGGCTGCTAATGATTTCCTCACCACCAGATTCAATGATATCTTCTAATCCTTCATCCTTTTAAACCTCCTAGATACAATTTATACTGACGACCACTCCCCCCTTGAAATTCTCTCCTCCCTCAAGGTCTATGACACTGGTTGCTTCTTCCTTTGTTCTAGCTCTGGTTCTTACATGTTCCATCTTGTTTCATAAATATAGACATTATCTTAGCTTTGCAGTTTGTTCAGAAAGAGAAGGATGGGCCTATTTGTTTATTTAACCTCAACCTTACCTCTCAACAGTCTCTCCCTTGGCAATGTCATCCAACAGTTAACCTATTTCCACCATCACCTACCTATAAGTACTTCCTGAATTTGGGGTCTTCACTTCCAACTGCATATAAGACATCAGCATTTAAATGTTCCCCCAGCATTTTATATTTAATCTGTCTAAAATTAACTCATTATCTTCCTTACCAAACCAGCTCCCCCTTTTTTAACTTTTGCTACCTCTAGTTAATGGCATCTCCTATCTCCCAGTTAGTTATCCAAGCTCCAAACCTTAGAGTCAATTCTTACTCCTCAATCTCCTTTGCTTCCCTTATCTAATCACTTGATTAAAAAAAAACAAAAGACAAAAAAACACAGCTTCTACCTTCTCTTACCAATCAGATCTATCGCTTTGTTTCTGTTCATTCCACCCCCTCAACTTCTACTAGTTCAGGCTTTTCCTACATTGATGCAACTGCCTGTACACTGATCCTATCTCTTGATTTTTCATTTCTTGCAAGATCTAGCCCAGTGATTCCTAGAGAGTAACCTCAACAAATGTTTGTTAAATGAATTAAATAAAGGAACAAGTTTTAAAGTTTTCAGAGAGAAGGAAATTGTGAACAATAAAGATCAGAAAAGGTAAACTGCTAAGTTTTAAAAGCCTGGATCTTAAAATGAGAAGGAAGGTCTTAGAGATGCTAGCTTTAAAATTTTAAATGTATTATATTTACACATCGGAACCTGTTTTGTGACAGAGTAAAGAGAAAAATCTGACAAATGAACTTTTAGCATTTTGGAAAGAAACATGCCATATTCTTAATCTTTTAAAAACTCATTAAAATTCTGAAGAAATCTCACTGTTTGAGGTGTTCACACTTATGGTTATTCCAAACTCCAGAGGCATGATTTTTTAAATCCAGTGGCAGTTTTTTAGGTATAGTATATTCTTTCACCATTCTGCTCCTCAAGCATGAGTACAAAGCCCCCTAGAAACTTTCAGTTACTTAGATGTCCCTATGAAAAAGGTCATTTTTTGCCACAGACTAGGAGGTGAAAACCATTTTCAAAATATAAATGCATACTCTCCCTTTCTGTTGGTCACTTATTCTAGGTTAGTGAATTTTTTTTTTAATAATCTATTAGAAAATGTTTCTGCGCAAAAGTCCCTGGTGAGAGCCATTCTTACCAAGATCCAGAAATTTTATGGAAGCTTCTTTTTCATATATAACTTTAGACTTTACTAAGAGTTGGGACTATCAAAGATGCATATTTTTAAAGGTTTAATGACAGGCATTAAGTGGGAGAGATAGTACTTTAAATGAATGGTCACAAAATCTTTAGAACGCTTATCCTAGCCTATCATTCTCTGCATTTGTGAAGGATTGTTTACTTTCGGACACATTTTCACATAATGCATAGAACAAAAATACTGCATTTGTCCATCATGAGACTGTGCATTTGGCAAAAATGTGACATGTCCAATTAATTGTGAAAAGAAGATAATTGCTGCTTGAAATAAAAATTGTATATATTTATTACAAGAATCAAATTAAGCAGATTACATCAGTCTTTCTAATCCACTGATCAGTATAGTAAATGTAATATGCCGAGAGCTTGAAAACCATTACACTTCTTCAAACTTTTAGAATCCTTCAAACCCAGGGTATATAGTATTTTGTTGTTTGCTTTGCCTCTTTACTCTCAACCTGAAAATCAATTTTTCTAGGTTTGGTGATATAAAGAATCAAAAAGAAATGAGCTATGATCAAATAAGGTTATGATCTGAACAACTGAAGTGATAATTTTATATTTGAGAATCTGTAGATGATATGAAGCTTTTGTCCATTAATGTATTAAATATATTTTTTAAAATCTCTGTTGATGAAAGATGCAGACTTCCATGTTTTCTCCAGTAGAGTTAATGAACTAAATGGAAAATATTTCACTGATTTCTTAAACCCCCTTGTGAGGCAAGAAAATGACATTCTCATTTAACAGCTGGAAAAACCGAATAACTAGTAGATGTAACTGCACTCAATTGCAAAGGAAAATAATAGCTCTAATATACCGTGAGTTGTGGATATGAAAGAATATTGCATACACATATCCCCTCCCTTATTTTTAAGGAATCAATCTTGGATCTTGGCCCTATACCTTTTGGCAGAGTAAATTATTGCCTCTCGGGTAGGCTGTGCAGTCATCCTTTTAATTTACTTTTAAATAGCTCTTCCCCAATCCATACAACCTAAGATTGGGCCAATCATGAATTTTCAGCAAACTTAAGTCCCTTATTCCATAGATTTTTTAACTAGAAATTTTTCTAGTTAAAAAATTTTTTTAAGTTTACATTTTCTATATTTTTCTCCCTAAATTCAAGAGATAATAACTCTTTGCAAAGTACATTGGGACACTAATTGGGAAGTAAAAAGGAACAAACTGAATTGATTTGTAGTTTCACAGAAATGAATTTGACATTTCACTTACAAGTTGCAAACCAACGTACAGTTTTGAACACTTCTGAATTTATTTGTTTTGCAAAAAAGTGGAATGTTTCACTAGAATCAAAATGCCCTCAAGTTATTTCCAGTACTGCTGCAGAATTGATTTTTCTAGGTTAAGGGAACGCCAAAGTGAGGAGATACTTCTTTTTTTTTTTAATCATTATCTATTTTTCTTAACTGGGTTTAGGACATCCCAAAACAAATCAGAAAAATGTAACTTCATTTCAGTATTACCAACATAGGGCATTTTGTAATGACTGTAACATGACTGTGACATTATGACAGTGAAGTATTCATTTTTAATCTTTTTACGCTTTAAACAGAGAAAGCTTTTCCTGGGTATGTCCAATAGAAATACAATATGTAAATTAATCCATATTATCTGTATGCTGATTGGCTTGAGTTCCCCCGAATGTCACAATCTCACCACCCAGCAATGAGGTATTTTACTGCTGTCTGGAGATCAAATTATTGCTGTAGAGAAGATCTTTATTTTTTCTGTTTCATTAACAGATTATTATAAAGCAATAAGCATGCAGGAGGAGAATCAGACGTTTTACCTTGGGAATTAATGAAAGCATTTCTGCTCGTTTTTTGGAGGTGGAGTTGTCGTTTAAAATCTTATACCACCCCCACAAACAAAATTCTTACGAAATGGTAAAATAAGGAAATCCATGATTCCAGAGACATCCCTAAGCACCCAGGTGTCAGGCTATGTACTTTCTTGTGATATCATCGGACCTTTTCGACGGGTGTAAGTTTTATGAATCGTTATATTCCTAGTATTTTTCTTCCTTAACAACAAAGGGGGGGAAGGAAACTCACATACATACAACTGCTGTGACATTACCAATCTATTGGTCAGCCTTACTTGCAAGAAGCAAAAGAAAGGCTATTGCTTGGTGGGGTGGAATGCAAGGAGCAGTCATTTAAAATTTGTGTAAGCCTGGTTCTATAGTCATATTCGTTAAAGTAGAATGGACATAAATCATTTTGCAGCTTTCCTCTGAACTTAGTTTCTTCCTACTTAACGCATATCTGCGTGCACTGGAGAACAGAAGAAGACTAACAAAGGGCTGCCCTAACCTGCTTTCCCTTCTTCCCCATTGACAAGATTTTTCCTGACTATGCCTTTTTTCTTTTAAAAAAAATTTTTTTTTTCTTTTCCTTTCCTTTTTCTTTCTCCCCTCCCCTCCACTCTCCCCCACACCAAGCTAACCTGCAAATGCAGTCAGCTGGGGAAATCATTAAAGAAGAAAGCTGAAAGAAGCTCCCAATGCTTTGGACCGCCCTGAAAGAGCATGGAGGAAAACGGGGAGAGCGAGGGTTCCCGGAAGCTGAGGTGGAGGCGGGCACCCCGGGCTCCGGGATGCGCTGCCCTAAGGGAAGAGGGTGGGCCTGAGGTCCTGAACGAGCCTTTCCAAACCCCACTCCCAATGCAGGGAGGGAAAAGTTCAGAAGCAGCCGCAAGGGGACACAGGCCAATTTTGCCAGTTGAACAGGACAGGACATTCAATAAACCCAGCCCGCTCTGGAAACGGGTCGGGGCTCCTGTTGGCTCCACAGAGGCTGAGGTGGCCCCCTGCCGCCGCCCTCGCCACCGCTGCCGCCGCCGCCGCCGCCGCCGCTGCCCCTGCGTTACTGGGGGAGACGGTGCCGCTGCGACAGGGGAGGACGCGGCTGGAGCTCAAGGAGGCTCCAGCGCGCAGGCGCCGCCGAGCCCTGCTTGGATGTTCAGTCAAGGCACTAAGGCAAAAAAAAATCAGCAATTTATAGAAAGAAGAAGCTATAGTCTGTCGGGATATCCAACACCAACAGGTAGGAGGATATACTCTCGGTTAAGTTTGGGGGGAGGGGGCGCACAGTGTTGATTTTTTGACAATAAACTGCATAATGGAAGTACATTCAGACAATGCATCTTCAGTAGGGCTTACTGAGAGCTCCATTTCTGGAAAGCGTTGCAAGACTGAGGAATATCAGACTGCGAATCACCGGGAACAGTTCCCTTGCAGCACAGAAGCAATCTCTCCCCATCTTCGCGTATGTAATGCATGTCTCTCTCCCCCTCCCCCTTCTCCACCCCCCCATTATAAATCCAGGGGTGGCGGATTTCAGGTTTCGTAATGTTGCATGATGCGATCGGTATTTACCCGGGGATGTACCGGTGGGGAAATTAAAATCATCGAACGCAGTGTTGCCTGGGCTTCTATCAGCATATTCCGGGCAAGTGAGAAGTGGCAAAGGAAACATGCTTGGTGGGAATAACAGAGAAAGCCGATTACCCTGGTGGGGCTCCCCAACACCTAGGAGACAATGTGCATTTTGTTTTAAAATGAAGCCACTTGCGATTTGCAACAAAGATTATCAGTGTAAATGGGAAAAGCTTAATTGCCCAAGAAATACAGGTTCATGTTAAATTCATTTGAATTCAGGCAGCCCCGGTTTACAAATGTAAATGCATTATTCCTCTGGGTGTTTCCCTGACCAATATTTACATTAACCATTTTTAATAATCATGTGGGTTTAAAAGAGAAAAGATTTGCCAAAAATGGGGGGGGGGAAGACAAAAGATTAAATCACATCAAATCCTGGGACAAGTTCCTATTAATTTAGAAGTCTAATGTTGAAATCATGCTTTAAGATCAATCAACAAATATTCCTCTTATATGCAGCATGAATAGTGGCACTTGAGTCAAAATACATATTTTGGAAGGGTTCTTTGGATCCATATCAGCAGAGAAGCTGCAGGGAAAACACTGACAGATACTAACAGACCTCAGATAAATGTGGGTAGTCTCTTCTCTGTCTCCTATTAGCAATCTTGTAGATTCCATTGCAACACTAGTGATTAACTCCAGGACTGGCATATTTTACAATTGGGGAACATTTTATTCCTTCTCTCCTAAATGTGCCCAATCAAATGTATGTTCTTTTAAATAGAGACATTTTAAAATTCATCTAGCTCAGAAAACTGAACAAGCCAATTCTCTGAAATCTCAAGCAAAAATACTAAAGCAAATAATATTATTCAAAATTAAAACTTTATTTGCTTCCCCATAAATGAACAGCTTTATGTTAGCACTGCCTGACATCATTGCTTGTTAACTTTAGAACTGATAGCTTTTTTTTTTTTCCAGATATTCTGATGGCAAATCAAATGGAAGAAAAGAGGAAGCATGACTGCAGATCTGATCAGTTCTCTTTGTGGATTACATTTTCAGTAAAATGCATGGATATATCTTTTCCTTGTTCTTATATCTAGATCATGAGACTTGACTGAGGCTGTATCTTTATCCTCCATCCATCTATGGCGAACTATAGCCATGCAGCTGACAACATTTTGCAAAATCTCTCTCCTCTAACAGCCTTTCTGAAACTGACTTCCTTGGGTTTCATAATAGGAGTCAGCGTGGTGGGCAACCTTCTGATCTCCATTTTGCTAGTGAAAGATAAGACCTTGCATAGAGCACCTTACTACTTCCTGTTGGATCTCTGCTGTTCAGATATCCTCAGATCTGCAATTTGTTTCCCATTTGTATTCAACTCTGTCAAAAATGGCTCTACCTGGACTTATGGGACTCTGACTTGCAAAGTGATTGCCTTTCTGGGGGTTTTGTCCTGTTTCCACACTGCTTTCATGCTCTTCTGTATCAGTGTCACCAGATACTTAGCTATTGCCCATCACCGCTTCTATACAAAGAGACTGACCTTTTGGACGTGTCTGGCTGTGATCTGCATGGTGTGGACTCTGTCTGTGGCCATGGCATTCCCCCCAGTTTTGGATGTGGGCACTTACTCATTCATTAGGGAAGAAGATCAATGTACCTTCCAACACCGCTCCTTCAGGGCTAATGATTCCTTAGGATTTATGCTGCTCCTTGCCCTCATCCTCCTAGCTACACAGCTTGTCTACCTCAAGCTGATATTTTTTGTCCACGACCGAAGGAAAATGAAGCCAGTCCAGTTTGTAGCAGCAGTCAGCCAGAACTGGACTTTTCATGGCCCTGGAGCCAGTGGCCAGGCAGCTGCCAATTGGCTAGCAGGATTTGGAAGGGGTCCCACACCACCCACCTTGCTGGGCATCCGGCAAAATGCAAACACTACGAGCAGAAGAAGGCTATTGGTCTTAGATGAGTTCAAAATGGAGAAAAGAATCAGCAGAATGTTCTATATAATGACTTTTCTCTTCTTAACCTTGTGGGGCCCCTATCTGGTGGCCTGTTACTGGAGAGTTTTTGCAAGAGGGCCTGTAGTACCAGGGGGATTTCTAACAGCCGCTGTCTGGATGAGTTTTGCCCAAGCAGGAATCAATCCTTTTGTCTGCATTTTCTCCAACAGGGAGCTGAGGCGCTGTTTCAGCACAACCCTTCTTTACTGCAGAAAATCCAGGTTACCAAGGGAACCTTACTGTGTTATATGAAGGAGCATCTGTACATCTTTAGCCTTGTGAAACACTAACCTTCTCTGCTAAGCAATTGTGGCCTGTAGCCATTTCTTGAGAAGAAAATCAAGAATGGGATCAGGAGTTATAAGGATTTGGGCAACATTCTGCAGTCTTTGCAATAGTTCACCTATAATCCTATTTTAAATCTCAGAGTGATCCTGCTGACTGCCAGCGAAGGTTTGTAATTAAGAAAGGACTGAACCACTGCCCTAAGTTTCTTTATGTGGTTGAAAACTAGATAATGAAAGTAGCAGGTGCTAAGTATCAGTGCTAAACGCTGTGTATATCACTACTTATGAAAAAACATCAAAAAAACCAATTAGCATTGGACATCTTAATAAATTAAGTTGACATGAGGTAAATGTGTTGATAAAAACTAATTTTAGAAGTTTGAAGACTTTAAAACATTTCATACTATTATTGTTTTGCAAGGACTAAAATATTTGGGGACTTAAAGTACTGTAATTCACTAAAGACATGCCATGAATTATTGGATTACCACACTTTTAAAAAATCGCCTTGTAAGTTTTGGGGAGCATTCCAAAGCAGTATATTGGTTCCAATTAGAGTTTACTTTTTTTGTATTAATACATTACTGTTTCTAAATACCACTTTCCTTACCTACTAGTGAAATTGCTAGCATTGAACTGTATTATGTGGTTTTTGTTGATTTGGTATAAAGTTTTTCCAATTCATCTATATTTTACAAATACTAGATACTGGTCTGGGAGGCAACATTAATGGTACCAACCGGTCACAACTGAACAGTTCTAATAATGCAGAATAAACACATGTTGCCTTAAAGGATTATCTAGTATCTTTCATCTTATTTAGCATTGGAGCAAACTGGAGTCATGGGAAATTGAATCAGTAACTGGTCATGGTCATGCAACTGGAAGTGCATGGACGATCATTTAATACTCTTTCCTTTTTCCTCACATGGTTTGAAAATTAAGGTGCACATCACTGGGATAATGAGATTTTCTTCTGAGTTGTGCTACCCATTCTAGTGTGTTCTAAGAAGGAGGCAGTTGATGTGTGTTTATATTTTAAGTCAGTTGTCAAGGGGAGACCACAGCCTTAGTATGACATCCTGCACAATTTGTAAAGCCTTTATTCTACCGAAGGCACAGTCTTGTTTATACTTTCTGCACATTCAGTGTATTGGTCGTTTAAATTATTTCAGTTTTAACTTGTGAAAGCTTATAATATGATTTCTAGTATTTCAGAAATACATTAGAGTCTGTGAGTCTCATTCTTCAAGATACAGATGTGTGAATTTCAATATAAAGTTGCATTTGCCAAAATTTACTTGTGTAGCCTGTTACTTTTCTTGGAATAAATTTTACATTTTTGGCACTTAATTTTTTTTTAATTGGGAGGCAAGCACAAAATAGGAAGACTAGCTTTATTATGGTTTTGTTTCTTTATTTTTGTAGCTACTATATTCTGGAACTGAAAATGCATGAATAATGGGGAACCTAAAGCTGATAAACTGACAAATAATATTATCTGCAAAAGCATTATTTGGTAGCTTTTGTCGTATTTATCCTATTTATTCTTACAAAGCCAGTAATATTTAAAGATGTAAACCTGCTTAGTTGGTTGGTTCAGAATTTTAATATAAACATCACATTTTATTTTGGGCCATGGTAGAAATTTTGGATTCTAAATACATAACTTGTAAGAAGAATGGTTTAAAATTACATTATGAAAAAACCAGAAAAGTTGTTTTTGTTTTTGTTTGTTGTTCATTGTTTTTGTTTGTTTGGGGTTTTTATTTTTATTTGGTACTTGAAAAATAAGATTAGGAATCTAGTGGAACAGAATTCTTTATTGCTACAGTGTTTCTGTAAAGAAAACATCAATATAAATATAAGTAAGGAAAAATAAATCATTGAAATATTTCAATGATATATGCAACAATTCAGTTTTGCTCATATAAGGACAGCTCAAGCCATGATTTAGTGAGCACTCTATTTGAACTCATTTTTACTTTATACCAAAGTTGACTGGATCTGAGACAAAATTTAATGTACAACAGTGAACTGAATCTAGCAATAAAGACCCCTTTTGGTACTAAAATCATTATCTAAAATACAATTAAGGAAATGCTATCAAAAGGTATTGGGATAACACTATGTTTCCAACTCAAAAAGTTTACAGTAGAGATGTAATTACCATGACTATATTTATAAAGAGCTTCCCTTAGAGGTTCAAATATCACCAGCAATCAGTAGAAAATTCAACAATGATCTTGAGGCCAGAGAGACCAGGTTTTATCAACACTGGCCTCCATTATATACACAAAAACCTGAGGCATGGATTAAGACTAGGAGACTGGGAAGTCAAGAGCAACAACCAAGTGAGATTGCCTGATTCTACCTAGCTGTCTGGAACAACATATTCCAACAGCTTTGGTAAGTGATCAACCCCAGCAATCAGTGAATAATACTGAACGGTAGTGACTCTCATTTAAGCCTACTCTTGACTAACTTGGTATTTCAGGTCAAGGGGCAAGCAGTGGGTGAGATACATCCCCAGTTAATCAATGCTATTTGTAAGTCAATAAGTAATGGTAGCAATCATATAAAATAAAAGTCTGCTTCAGTAACTCAAGGACCAAATCACATTATCTATTTTGGCACCCATTCCAATATTCAATATTGAAAAACAGTTGCAACTAATTCAATTTGAAAATGTTACTAATCTTCAACCCATAAAAATACATTCCCACTGGGAAGTCCAACTTCCCTGTGAGAAAAACCCTTTATCAGTAATAATGTGTCCCTCTAGGACTAATTACATCTGAGTTGAACAGGCTTTAGATTGTTTTCCTTAATAGTGGTAATGTGTTTGCATGGATGTGTCTATAATCTCATCTGGTTCCTTTTGTGCACAGTGGATTTATTTGTGAGATGCCTGGCTGGAGCTAGGCATTAAGTCTGTGATTGTGAAACCCTATGCAGATATTAACTGAGGCAGAAGGAGGTGAGTAACTTGCTCAGTTTCCCACGGAGGCTCAATTTAAATAATACAAAATTAACCATAGTGATTAGATTTTAAAATTATTTGTGGGACAACCTATTGACTGAATTATATTCTCAAATGTTAGCTGGTTGGGTTTCAACACCAGCATTTTTCATAGAGGTTAATAACTGATTTGCCTTTACATGGTTATGGCCCCTTATCCATTTGCCTCTACATCCATGAATACTAACTGAAATGCTTATTTATTCATTCACTCAACAAATATGTGTTGGGCACTGAGCTTGGTGCTGAGAGCACAGTAGAAAACAGGCAGAACAGAATTAAATATGTAGTAGCAACAAGTTACAAGTGTTTCAATAGTAAATGTTTCTAAAATGGACTTGATATTAATGACCATAAATGGACTCTCTTCCATTTTCCCTTCATGCCTTACCCCCTATCTTTCCCAGTATTCCCTGGGATCTTGTATATATCATACTCCCTCAATTCAGAGGGAGCCCCCCCATTCTGCTCACATTTCATTTAGATGAATCACCCCTGCTGTGTTTTGGAACCCTGAGTTCCCTCATTGTTAGTGGTTACACAAAGTAACAGCAAACCCTGAGTGTTAAAGTCCTCCCACTCCGGACTCTCCACTTCCATGTGGAGATATTTCAATTCCTTCAAGTGACAGGGAGATGTTCTTTCTTCCATACTCATGCCTTCCTGCAAGTTAGCATGAGAATGCCTGGGTAAAGTACAATCAAAGAAAGGCACTAAGATGTCAACTCCCAGGGGGCCTCCCATGGTGCTCAAGCAAAGATGGGAATAACCTGTGAAACAGGGTACATATCTTTTATTATGAAAGCATGCTACTCCTTCAATGTTTTTCTTATTCCTTACTACAGATACAACAAAACTCCCTACCCCTGCCCTCATCAGCGGAAAAGTTTATTTGGCCTCCAAAATTTACTTCTATTGCAAATACAATGAAATGTACTTAAAATTATAGAGACATATTCTTTTCAGCTAAGGCATGTAATAGCGCATTGTGTTGCAATGGGAATTACTGTAGGACAGTTGCAAACAAAAACAAAACCCTTCACTTCTATAGATAAATTTACTTTACATTAGATAAATTTACTTTGTTCCATTCTTTATTCCACGTGTAGCATAAACTATATTGTTATTAAAACAAAGCAAAACAAAAACCCCAGCTTATATTAACTTTATATTAAAAAGAAAATTAAAAAGATGACAAATAGCAGTGTTTCAAGTACTGGCTAAATACAAGACCGATGGTTATCAGAATTATGGGTTATTTACGATTCTAGAATCACGTGAGTCTGTTTTTCTATGCAAAAATGCATCATTTTCATGTTTGTTAATAGTCTCATAAATGTTTTTAATGGAAATTGCAAGGTCTACTAAGATAATTGTTTGTTGCTGACATTTTTCTTTTGTTCTTAACTCTGGGTATGCTAGTGTTCTGTGACTTTCCTAATTCTCTCACAAACTTTTTTTATACCATATTAAAATGATAGAATTGCTCAATTTTGAGGCACAAGTTCATAATTAGTCTATACAGTGGTTAAAACTAAGGGAGCAGGGCTTCCCTGGTGGCGCAGTGGTTGAGAGTCCGCCTGCCGATGCAGGGGATACGGGTTCGTGCCCCGGTCTGGGAGGATCCCACATGCCGTGGAGCGGCTGGGCCCGTGAGCCATGGCCGTTGAGCCTGCTCGTCCGGAGCCTGTGCTCCACAATGGGAGAGGCCACAACAGTGAGAGGCCCACATACGGCAAAAAAAAAAAACCCAAAAAACTAAGGGAGCATTTGGAAATGACTGGATTATTTTTTGCCATCAGTCGAAGCAGTCAAATAAGCTAAAGGGCTATTGAGAACTGGGGCAATGGAGAAAAGATTGTTTTGGCTAACTCATTGTGCCATTTACTGCATTGTAACAAGCTCTAAAAAATATATTTAAACCAAGAGGCTTTAACTTTATAAAAGGATTATATAAATAAGACTTTGTTTTTAAAATGGAGAAGCAGTTTTTATATCACATCCTTTTGCCAAGAGGATGATGTCTATTAACTGCTCAAACCCTTTAGATTAAAAGGCTTTCAAAGCTAGTTTTCCTCCCACCAGATTAGGCAGTTAATACAAGGGCTGGAGCCCTGAAAGGCCCCAGAGCAAAGTAAAAAAGAGTGTGTTTCCCTCTGAGTGACTGTGAAAAAAGGCCTTAAAGGAGTAACAGGTGGTTTGGGGTCTGAAATTAATCACACCTGGCATTCACAACTAGTTCCTTAGCTCCTTCTGGTGCCACAGGATCTCATCATCCTCAGAAAGACAGGTTCTCAAGCTTGGCTTAGAGGCAGAAAACAGTTCGTTTTTTCTCTTTGTGTTTGGAAAATTATAGGTTCTTGACACAGTATTAAAATTGAAACTGTAATGCATGTCCTGGATTATGAAGTTTTGAACAGATAATAAAATAACATTTAACTTATATGGGTATTCGAGATCATGGGAATAATGATCAATGGGAAGTAAGTCATTTACTACAGCATGAAAAAAAGTTATTATTTAAAAACTTTAAAGCTGAATTGATAATTGAGCTTCAACTAGCTAAAGTTAATTAGCTGTTTCTTTTCATAGCTTTAAGAAAAAAAATTGGACTAGATGAAAGAGGAGTTTGTTCTTTTCTCCTCCATCCTAAAAGATGTTGAATTGAGAGATTTCATTTTCTCCAGGGAAAAAAAAAGAAATTTGGATCATTTTTAGTAAGCATTTTTACTTAAATATAATTCAACAATCATTTATTGTGTGGCTACTGCATATATCATCTTGGACAAGTTACTTAACCTTTCTATGCCTCCTCAATAAAAAAGGGATAATACAGCATACATCCTGATGTTATTGAGGGGACTCAATGAGTGCATCCTTATGAAGCCTTTAGAAGAGAGTCTAGCATCTTATATAAATTTTAATTTCTACTGGTTCTCTCATAGTTCACCATTTAGCAGCAGAGACATGAACAAATTATGAGACAACGTGATAAGTGCTGAAAGAGAGATATGTGAGATAAGTGTAAAAGAAACACAGACAAGCAATTAACTCGGTGAAGATGGCAGAAGGAAGGTGAGAGAAAAGGTGGCAGTTGAACTCAGTCTTAAAGGATAATTTTAATTTATCTACTTGACAAAGTTAGGAAAGCCATTTCAGAGAAAGGAAATAATAAAATGAGCAAACTGTATAGAGACTTGAAAGCTCATGAAGTGTTCAACATAAGGATCCGGTACTAATCAGAGAAGTTTAATGTTGTGTGGCTGGGGCTTAGGTGCCTGGAAGGGGAGGACCAAAATGGCAGAGGGGTTAAAAAGCACAAGACATGGAAGTTTAAGTCCTTATTCTGTCCCTTACTATCTTTATGATCTTGAAAAAAGTTCATTAAACTCTTTGAGTCTCAGTTTGCTTATCTGTAAATGGGGGAGTAAGTAGCAGCAACCACTACTTTTGAAGATTAAAAAATGAGATAATAATAACTATTATTAATTAAATACTATTTGCTAAAGACTGTTCTAAACACTTTTCATATATGAACTCATCTGATTAACATAAGAAGTAGATGCTATTATTCTCCATACTTTACAAATGAAGAAACTGAAGCACAGAGAAGTTAAGTATTGGGTTGGTCAAAATTTTCGTTTGGGTTTTTCTATAAGATGTTACAGAAAACCCCGAACGAACTTTTTGGCCAACCCAACAGTAATAGGCAAAAGATGGATGTAAAGCACTGAGTACAGCGTGCAGCCCAGAGTGAGCATTCACTAAATATCAGCTACGCTGCCGCTGCTATTGCTATTGTTCATTTTAACAAAATAACTGAAGAAGGTTAGAGATTAATGGGAGCTGAAGTGACTGAGCAGAAACAGAGCTCCAAAAA